GCCCCCGAATCTGTCGACTTCCTGTACACAACATACCGTTCACGACGTCGTCTCCAGACTCTATGCCTGCCGTCCGCGAATCTGAAGGTAAACCTGGATTCATCGCTAAAGACGACTCGATTCCAGTCTCTCTGGGTCCATCGGAGGTGACGTTGGGCCCACAGCAGACGTTGACTTTGATGAAACGGCGTCAATATTGGCCCACGATATGGACGTCGAGAATGGAGATTGGCAACCCGCAACCGATTTCGAATGGTCTGTGAGGACAGTCGACCTCTAAACATCTCAGCCCTGGTTCGTGTAGCCGGCAGAAATCTGTCACGTAGGTGACGTAGGACGATTTGACGGTCTTCTGCTCGTGACGTCACACGTGGACGACCCAACCTTGGGCGATCAGAAGTGGTGCCAGTTTGTTGTAGACGACCTCGCAGGTCATACACAGTACGACGGCTGAATCCCATTGCTCTTCGACGTCAATAACTGATCTTCCCGCTTGCAACATGCCAACGGCGCGTTCACGTTGCACATTTGACAATCGTGGCATTTCAAGTACCGTTAGAACTGTGGTTTAAAAGTGTTTTTTCAATTCTTGAGGCCAATGAAAACACGTGCACATGAAGAAAACTTCGATGCGAGGATCACGTGATCGACTGCACGTGCAAAACCTGATTTGGCACTAACGTCATTTGCACGACCAATGGATGGGTTTGAGTGGTTTTTGCTAACGTTTTTTTAGAGTCGAAAGATAGGGATCCCATTTCGGATACATAGATGCATCATCAGAGAAAAAGTATTCGTTATTTTTCAAATTACATTTTGTGAAGTTTCTTTTTTGACTCAGTATAATGCTCTGACACGCCACACACATGTATAGATGATCACGTGTAATGCTCTGACACGTCACACACATGTATAGATGATTATATGTAATGCTCTGACACGCCATACGCCACATACGTGTATAGTTGATCATATATAATGCTCTGACACGTCACACACATGTATAGATGATCACATATAATGCTCTGACACGCCACACACATGCATAGATGATTATATGTAATGCTCTGACACGCCATACGCCACATACGTGTATAGTTGATCATAAATAATGATCTGACACGTCACACACTTGTACAGTTGATCATATATAATGCTCTGACACGTCACACACATGTATAGATGATTATATGTAATGCTCTGACACGCCATACGCCACATACGTGTATAGTTGATCATATATAATGCTCTGACACGTCACACACATGTATAGATGATCACATATAATGCTCTGACACGCCACACACATGCATAGATGATTATATGTAATGCTCTGACACGCCATGATCGTGTATAGTTGATCATAAATAATGATCTGACACGTCACACACTTGTACAGTTGATCATATATAATGCTCTGACACGCCACACACATGTATAGATGATTATTTGTAATGCTGTGACACGACATACACCACATACTTCTGTATAGTTGATCATGTATAATAGTCTGACACGTCACACACATGTATAGATGATCCTATATGTTGTTCTGACACGCCACACACATGTATAGATGATCACATGTTATGCTCTGACACCCCACACACTGTATAGATGATCATATATGATGCCATGACACGCCACACACATGTATAGATGATCATATATAATGCTCTGTCACGCCACACACATGTATAGGTGATCACATGTTATGCTCTGACACCCCACACACGTATAGATGATCATAAATGATGCCATGACACGCCACACACATGTATAGATGATCATATATATTGCTCTGTCACGCCACACACATGTATAGGTGATCACATGTTATGCTCTGACACCCCACACACGTATAGATGATCATAAATGATGCCATGACACGCCACACACATGTATAGATGATCATATATATTGCTCTGTCACGCCACACACATGTATGATGATCATATACAATGTTCTTGCACGTCACACACATGTGTAGATGATCACATGTAATGCTAAGCATCTTAGGATCACAATTAGTTCAGCACTGTAAACCCACTGTGGTGAAACAGTTAGCCTACCTTTATGTACTGTTATATATGTGTTGCCGTAGCTTTGCTAACGGGATCGAATTGTGATATTCTAGTCGTTATGCTGTCCTTCGCTGGCAGGTTTTTAAATAAGTATACATATGTTTACTCTTAGTACATAACTTTTTGTCGTCACAATATAGCTGAAATGTTGCCGATGTGACGTTAAATATTACCTCACTCACTCACTTTGCTAACGGTACACACACAGTGTTGATACATGACTAGTGACGTTTAGGACTTCCTGGTGTGTTGTTTGAAATCATGCATTCTGACATGGCAATGTCACTAGATGCCAGGGTATCCATGACGCCACTTATCACAAATGTCAAGACTGACGTGCAGGGAAAATATCTGTAGACATTCGTATGCTGAGTGGAGGGGCGGTGGGGTAGCTTCATGGTTAAAGCGTCCGCTCGTCACGCTGATATCCTGGTTTTGATTCCCGTCATGGGCAGAATGGGAGACGCCCATTGCTGGTGTGCCCCGCCTTGATATTACTGGTATATTGCTAGAAGCGGCGTAAAACCAAACTCACTCACTCACTCACTCAGTGGACAACAAATTATTCAACTGTTAGTAAAGTTTTAACAACCGTCAATATATATCGTATGTAATGCTCGAACATTTTCCCTTCTGCTACCATGTTGAACATTAAAACTCATTGAATTCAAAGTTTAATTTGAGAGTAACCGAGTACATTACAACGCTTCAGTTTGAATGGTGAAAACTCCTCCAACAACCTGAACATAATTATTCGGTATTCGATTACGGTAATAAAACCGCATTGTGTAATGCATATACGTTTTGTCAATCGGCCGTAAGTGATAGACACGACTCGAATTAGAACTCAGTGTCGGTGTATATCGGTGGATCAGTTCATTTCAGTCAAATATCAGTGGTTTCTAGCGTTGTATATGTGACAAACTTCGGTTCATATTAACTATAGTGGTCAGAGATGCCCTCGTGCTGTAATTTCCCAATGTGTAATTAGTGTACGCCATAACTTTTTCCATAGGATTACTAAATAGTTAATCCTTCTAACTCTATCTTCTAAAGAGAAGGGGCGGTGGGGTAGCCTAATGGTTAAAGCGTTGGCTCGCCACGCCGAAGACCCGGGTTCGAATCCCCACATGGGCACAATGTGTGAAGCCCATTTCTGGTGTCCCCCGCCGTGATGTTGCTGGAATATTGCTAAAAGGGGCGTAAAACCAAATTCAGTCAGTCAGTCAGTCAGTCTAAAGAGAAGAACTATTTACCTTTTTAATGGTACGATATAAAAAAAATGCAGTTGTTTAAAAAATAAATCCAAACATTCAAAACATATCTATTTTATATGGAATCTTAACAAGAAACATTAATGAAAAAAATGATCATACATCTGGGGTTATTATTGTCAAAATAAATAACCGAGTGATGTGTCAGTAAAAGGTATCTGCGTCTTGGTTTGCAGCACACACAATGTCTGCATTTGTTTATACTTGTTCGAACATAAACAACACCCCTAACACAGTACCAGTCTATACGTGTATATATGTGTACTAACATGAACCACACCTCTATACCTGTGTATATGTGCAATGACATAAACCACACCCCTAAAACAGTACCAGTCTATACCTGTGTATATGTGTAATGACATAAACCACGCCTCTAACACAGTAGTAGTCTATACCTGTGTATATGTGTACTAACATCAACCACGCCCCTAACACAGTACCAGTCTATACCTGTGTATATGTGTACTAACATGAACCACACCCCTTACATAGTACCAGTCTATACCTGTGTACATGTGTACTAAAATAAACCACGCCTCTAACACAGTACCAGTCTATACCTGTGTATATGTGTACTAACATAAACCACACCCCTAACACAGTACCAGTCTGTACCTGTGTATATGTGTACTAACATAAACCACACCCCTTACATAGTACCAGTCTATACCTGTGTATATGTGTACTAAACTAAACCACGCCTCTAACACAGTACCAGTCTATACCTGTGTATATGTGTACTATCATGAACCACACCCCTAACACAGTACCACTCTGTACCTGTGTACATGTGTACTAACATGAACCACATCCCTTACATAGTACCAGTCTATACTTGTGTATATGTGTACTAACATAAACCACACATCTAACATAGTAGCAGTCTATACTTGTGTATATGTGTACTAACATAAACCACACCCCTAACATAGTACCAGTCTGTACTTGTGTATATGTGTACTAACATAAACCACACCCCTAACACAGTACCAGTCTACACTTGTGTATATGTGTACTAACATAAACCACACCTCTAACATAGTACCATTTTGCACTTGTGTATATGTGTTCTAACATAAACCACACCCATAACATAGTACCCCATAACATGAACCACACCCCGAACATAGTACCAGTTTATACTTGTGTATATGTGTACTAACATTAACCACATTCCTTACATAGTACCAGTTTATACTTTGTGTATATGTGTTCTAACATAAACGACCCCCATAACACAGGTCTAGTCTATACTTGTGTATATGAGTACTAACATGAACCACACCACTAGCACAGTATCAGTCTGTACTTGTGTATATGTGTACTAACATGAACCACATCCCTAACATAGTACCACTCTATATACAGCACGATTAAAGTTTTCGTTTACACGGGTAATCAACAGTCTTCGCCCAGTCATGATATAACTATACCGATTACCAATGAACAATACAGTTCAGAGTAGATAATCAACTAAAACACGTACATATGGGGAAAAGGATACAAACACAAGCAATGTGAAACAATATACTGTGACGGACACATACATTGAGGAATAATATGTGGCTTTATTTTGACTGGAGATCCAACGGACGGGTTATCAAAACTCGTTGAAACTATTTGAGCGGTTGTCTTCCCGTGATTGTAGAAGTGTGTAAAATACATTTTAACTAAGATAAAGCATGTATCATATTTATCGAATTGTTGCCAGAATTACATTTCTATCGACTCGTTTGATTGATAAGTATTGAACACCACACTCAGTGGTGGGTTTAGGCTTTTCTCCATGTCTAAATGTTGACACTGTTATCTAGATTTGTCAGAAAAAAAATAAACTGAAATAGAACTTAAATCTTTAAATCAATATGTCTGATAGGAGGTAAGGAGTTAGCTGGAGGTGGCATTAGATGTGAGGCAGCGCCGAAAGGTGCAGGTGGTGAACCCTGACCCACACCAGCACTGCTGGCAGAATCAGCCCAGACACGCCGGCTATCAGGGGTTTTCTGAAATCAACACAAGAAGTATATGAAATTGATAACGGTGAATAAAGGGAATATATTAACTTAATATATTCATTGACTCTACAGACTGCTTGGTCCTAACGTCATGAATTACATCAGTGAAATATTCATTATATGCGTTATGAAATTGTATTGTATTAATGTAAATGTGGGTAACAAACCAACCGGCAAGTCATTATAGGGCGCGTCCGTGTGTGCAGCCAGGGCACTCTCATCCTCAACCTTGTTCTGAAATAACAGACAAATCGCATACATGTATTTACGGGTCAGAACATATCCGCATTTCATATTGGCTAATTTAACTATCAAACCACAAACGTGGAGATGTTAATATTAATATTAACTTATCAATGTTATGTTATTCGCAAGTAAACTGCAGTATACAGTTTGAACTGTGTGAACATGTTAATTATCTTCTTGCTGACCACAATGTCAGCTTGTCTTTGTTGAAATCGAATGTCCTAATTATTATGTGATAAAACAATATTGTATCAGTGGATGTTGATTCAAACAATTCTGTATGGGACTATTTCATGTTCCATATTACAGTCCAAATATTATTAAACTGGTACTGGATGTCAGTAGACAGGTGTCTCAAATATATCTTTAATGAGATAAATAGTTTAACAGTGTCAGAGGGAAATCTCCTCGAGAATGGCATAAAGAGAGAAAGTCAGATGACCATAAATACTGTTAGATGATTGGTCCATCACATCATTTACCACGAAATGTTAAACTAATCAATATTATTATTAATAATAATATCATAATCCCTTCTCAAGACAATCGCGGATTTGACGAGGAACACTCCTAATCACACTAAAGTATTTACATATTTGTCAGTTGTTTATACAAATGTTTATGGAAAGAACATTTGAAGTTAGAAATGTTGCCTTATCCACTTGATCCTTTAATATCAATTACTATTATAAAAACAAAAGGAGATATAACTGAGGATTTATAGCGTGGTCATGATTTAGTAATACGCAATACATCCCTACATGCATGGAGGTAGGGCATGAAATGTTCTCGTAGTAATGTAGTCACCGTTTTGAAGCACTTTTTGTATATGGCAATGGAGATGGCAGATAGACACAGAACGGCAGCCAGTCCTCCGACGACACCTCCGATGATTGCTGAAAATATAATTACGGTAAAAGGACAGGAGGAAGCATGTCATAATCAGGTAAAATATGAAGTATTTGTCTTGGAGGATGGGATTCCAATCCAACAATTACCTAGAGATATAGCAGACTAAGTTAATGTGTAGATGAAGTAGTTATAAACTTATGCACAATGGTTTCTTCCAGGTTATAGACATATGTCATAATGACGTTGAACGTAGTCCTCTAACCAGTCATACTAAAGGTACAAGATGGTCATTTAGATGTGAAGATGCCTGAGAGGAAATGTACGTATTTCTGCAGTATTCCCGTCGTTGACACGGAATGCCCCCCGTACTTGCAACAGTTTATTATGTGTATTAACCCGGTGTCAGGATAACATACGGTATGAGTCGTCATGAATCTCCAGTGACATCACTCTATACTCTCGCCAGTTCTCCTTTTACCGAGTACACCTCACCAGGCAATTACGCCGGCAATCTCCAAGAAATCACGGGGATTTTCTACAGAATTGCCCGGGCCCCGCTGATTTTATTTAGAATTGCCCGGGGATTTTCCTCCACGGTTTTATTTGAAACTTTTAGGTAAGCCCTCGGCCGCGGACTTACTTTTTCCAACAAAACCTCGGAGTCGGTTTTGATCCTGTACTAAACATATAGTAGATATAAATATTCATTATGATTATAATGATTCATGATCCTCCATACGTGTATTAGACTCTGTTGCCTGTGGTATCATTGCCACTGACGGGGTTTTCGCGTGTGTTGAACCGAGAGTTGGTGTGTCGGATGTGTCTGCTATAGCAGTCATCACGGTTGGGACCAGAGGGGGAGTAGTTGTAACCTTCGGACAATCTTGTGTCACATCTGATGGAAGTTTCGATCCACATGCCACAGAAACAGGTCCTCCATTGGAAGCTGAAAATACAACACAGTACCGATTCAAGCATGCTGCATTATAAAGTGCAGTCGAATGATTATCGAATACACAATGAAATGCTGTAATGGATAAAGGCGCATGTGTGACACCGTTGTATGTAAAGAAATCTTTCCCCATATCTTTATTTCACAAGATTATTACATGTCTGCATATTTTCGTTTGTTATAGTTCGAAGTTAATACTGAAGTTCCAGGTAGACACGTATGTGCTTGTAAACACTTAGTTACTTTATGAGTAAGTGAACAGGAATGTGGACGCATGGTATACGAAGAATTACACACACACACACACACACACACACACACACACATATATATATATACATGTATATATTGTTTAATATATATATATACTGAACATCATTGAAAACGCAACAGTCTAAAATTGTCCATATTTTCATCAAGATGGATTTCAGCATGACAATGATCAATGAAAATAACTAACATGAAGTCAAAGGGCATGTCCAGTTGAAAATATGCTTTAGAAACAAATTCCTGTCCACAGTATGACTCTTAATTCCAAAATGCATCAACATGCAGCCACGCCATGAAAAGAGCGCGAATTTCATTCTGAAATCATACTCTCTGTGACATTAAAAGCAGGTGTATGAGAACCGATTCTCATTGCTTCACTAACGATTGTGAAACGAGGACAGAGATGTAGAGGTAAACACCTTACGAAAGAGAACGTGCACTAGGCATGATTCATGTTGGCACCAGCAGCAGGGATATTGCTCGACAACTTGGACTTGGCCACTCCACCATCGTTAGGCTTCATAGACGACATCAGTAGAGAGACAGCACCCGTGACCTTCAATGACCTTGGCAACAACGTGTTACGACGCTCCATCAGGATCACTATATTGACCTTGTCCATATCAGTGATTGAACACTGCCGACTGCCAGGACTGCTGCACTAGTTCAAGGTAGACGTGGGGGTCATCAGCGCTGACTCCATGCGAAGCCGTCTACACGCTACAGGGCTCCATGCTCGACATCCATACGTTGGACCAATTCTGACTGACAGACACCGTAATGAGCGTACACAATGGGCTAGCAGGCATTTGCAACAACGGTATGGTGTGGTAATCACTGACGAGTCACGACCTCACGTAATGCTGACGGCCGACTACGTGTTTGGCGTAGACGTGGTTATCGTTATGCTGATTAGTGTGTGGTTCAGACAGACCTTTGGGTGGTGGGAATGTCGTGGTCTGGGGTGGAATAAATTACAATTACAGGACTGCCTTCATTTCTGTCAAGGGAGAGTTAATGCCCTTTATTGCCGTGAGCAGATTCTTCTGAATCACATCGTATCTGTCTTCAATCACCACCATACTTTTCAACAGGACAACGCACGGGCACACACAACAAGACTTGCCATGCAGTATCTGGCCCAGCAACACATCCAGGTTATTCATTGGCCAGCACAGTCGCCAGATGTATCCCCCATGGAGCACTCGTGGGACGACATTGGTCAAAGTCTTTTGCAGAGACAACCGATGCGAAACATCCGGGAACTTGAGGCTGCACTATTGCAGAAGTGGAATGCCAAGACCTCTATTCGGACGCTTATTGACTCAATGAGGAGACGTTGAACTGTATGTCTCAATGCAAATGGCGGTCACACGAATTGTCCCCATGTGTTTGATCCTTTCTGACTGTGGAACATTTCAATAAATGAGTCTCTTATCTGTGTTGTTGTTTTTGTTAGTCGTCCATCTGTTATTATCCACTCACAAAACATCAATTCCTTACACGTGCTTTTAATAATTTGAACTTTTATAAGTGGTGCGTTTTCAATGATGTTCAGTATATATGCACACACACGTGCGCGCGGACACACACAGACACACACACCTAGAACAGAACATAGCACAAATTTAAGTAAGCTATGATGAATTCTGAATTGAGGTTATTAAGGATCAATTACGGTCTTTTCAATTACATGTCGAAAGGATACCTGTCACACGAATCCACAGCAGCCCTTTGTCACTTGTGACAATGCTTGCAGTCATGTTCAGGTAAATGTCTATCTTGCTGCTGTTGCTTTGAAATAATGTGTTGTTGGAAATGGGGTAGTTACACCTGAAATGATCGGCATGACGTCCGCCTTCCTCTGACAAGACGAGGGTGCAAGAGGATGAGTTCACGGTGTTGCCAACAAGTTTCACGTCAATGCTTGACCCACATGTATATGCAACACAGTAAGAGTTGTTAACAGAATGGGTTGGCTGGTTGTGGAGTAAGAAAACCTGTGAGCCTTTGAGCGTGGAGTCCCCAGTGAAATTCAAAATCTGATTATCTGAAAATGATACGAAACTCTAGTGAATGTCAGTTGTGTATTCATATGCAGTTCTTCCAGGCGGTTTAAACTGTCAGCTCGTGTTGCAGTCACGGTATATGTCTGCAATAACATGAAACAGATTTGAAGGGCTGTTTAATGGATTCTGGAATTTTCCAATTATATCTATTGCAGGAATGTGGATTTTTAACCATAAGCCACAAATACCATGCACTTTATACAACTTCACTGTTCAATAATAAATATGTCATCCCTAACCAATTTATCTGTAATAATTTACACACTATCTTCAATAACAAGCCGATCTATTTCATATTCTTGAACTTAGCTCCTGTAAGGCCTATACAATACACACGGTGATTCTAACACTCTGTCGTCTTAGACTTCAAACAAATTTTAAAATATGAATCACACGATGCATATATGCATCGAAATGATGCGCAATAAAATTAAACCTTTAGATAAACACTCTCGTCTACGGTGTCAGGACCGGCATGAGGCATCCTTAAGAACCGTTAGGTCACCATCATACGTAACAATCAATGATGGAAGTTAGAGAAAATTAGACGTCCGTGAGGTATCAGCCAAAAGGAAATGACTCTGATCCGAACTCTATGCAGCGATGAACATGTCAATTCTTAATCGATAGTAATGCTATTACCTGAAAATGTTTGTTCACATCCTTCACGAGATGCAGTGGACAAGGAAGCTTGTCATTTTCTTGCCTTATATCCTGCCAAACATTCCTAAGCCATGTGTTGCTATACCAACAGGCGCATACTGATTATGTATGTAATCATGAACTGACTGAGTTGTCCAGAAAGTATCTATACAACAGTACTTACCATCAACACATTCATATTCAAACATAATGCAATTCCAGTCCATTTGGATTCTGTCACTATATTTCCCTCCCAAACTACAGAATGGTCTTCCTATGCATTGGGTCACAAAATCTTTGTACTGCTGGTCCTTTCCCGGAATGTTTAAAGCTTCAGCTGGAAGTTCATACGTTTTCGTGCCCTAGACATTTGTCAAATTGTCACAACATTGTTCACAACTTTTACCACATAGTGGGATCGACAAGGTTTTAAGCTTTCTGGTTTTGAACGTTTTGGGATACATCTTTTCACGGCTGGCATTACATCCCCCTGGAGAGGTGGAGAACTGGTTAGGATAACAGCCTGCCTTGGTATGTGTTCTGTTCCCGGCGATATCTGCATTGCGGAATAAGAAATCTGCTAATGATAACATATCATCTTGGTTGTTTTATACCTGCTATTTCCTTCCATGATCATATACTTTGGCAAAGTTAATGTTTCAACGAATTCAGAGACTGACTTACTATATTTTCGAGTCTGTATGCGGTTTTGTGTGTGCTTTCTTAAATCGAAAGTAATTTTGGAGTAATGCACGAGATATTTCATATTTAAGTGGCCACGCTTTCACGTAAGCCACGTGTCTAAGGGCTAAAACAAATGAAACTATCTTTGCTATGCGGACATGGGTTCTATTCAATATACATGAAAGAGACACTGATAGATAGGGGAGGGAAACACAATCAAGTAACTGGGGGGAAATGAGTGAGAAGAAAAGAGGAGAGTTCAGTTCAGTTCAGTTCAGTTCAGTTTGTTGTTAACCGCCGCACTCAGCAATATTCCAGCTATATGGCTGCGGTCTGGAAAAAATCGGGTCTGGACCAGACAATGTAGTAATCAACAGCATCGATATACGCAGTTGGTATATGATGATATATGTCACCCAAGTCTGCGAGCCTGATCACCCGATTCCGTTAGTCGCCTTTTCCGACAAGTATGAGTTGCTGAAGACCAATTCTAACCCGGAAGAAAAAATGCTCTGTGCTTAAGAAATAGTAAGGGTAGCAAATTCATCTCTCTCTTCTTCTCTCTCCTATTTATTTGTTGAGTGGTCATGCTTACCGATGAATTGAAGGATGAAGATGAAAAGATGAACTATCCACATCTTGGGCACCATCTCTGTTCCGTATGATCTTCCTGCTGAAATGGTGCCGTAAGCGATCACATTACAGCTTCTGATATATGGGATTTCTACAAGTATTTAATTCAGTCACTATTTGTTAAATACACAATGAAAACCTCCAGGTTTCATTATTTATAATCGTTCTGGTTTTATCTGTTGTGGTTTGCGTTATCATAATTAATTCATTTTGCATAAAAAGATCATACATAATATATCCTTGGTTGAGAGAAAGACAGTGTCCGTTTCTGATTTACCAGATACATTGAACCATAGAAATACAGACATGAATGGCAAATCAAACCGCTGTGAGGCATGTATAATGTGTGGCTTCATATAGTGCCACCTCATGGAGAGTCTAGATTACATTAGGTCTCAACTTACATATGTTGGACTTTATAGACGACACATTAAAATCTGCTTACATTAAACAGGAAACGCCTTGTCATCAGATGCGGAGAAATCACAACGATGATAAACAGGTATGCGACATTCGCATTGCATTGTTGGATGTCACCATATTGTCACGTTTTTAAAATTCGGAATACGAAGTGATCATCACAACACCCCACCTGATAACATTCTCATGACTTTTAACACGGGTAGTGAGACGAAGACATTATCAGGTGTTACTTCCTGTTCTGAATAACAAATCAAACTAATAAAGCAGATATGAATGTCAATGTACTGTGGAGGACAGGGCCTCCTGCAGTTCAATATGTATATTGATGACGACGGTTAACATGTATTCTTTTAAGAAATCTAACCAGCAAAGAATTGTATAAAGGAACTACTTATCAACTAAAAACATGCTATCAAAAGAAGAACATCTTAAAACGTTTTGAGTACTGTCCTATATATTTCAGTGTCACTTGTATGGACCAATAAACATCTTCAGCTGGCCATGCTTGTCTTAAGAAGAGACTAACAGGATCAGTTTGTCAGACTCGCTGACCTGTTTGTTTGTTGCACGTCATCGTATACCAATTGCGTTGATCGCTGCTGCTAAATTTCAATCAGACCGCCGTCAAACAGCTGAAATACTGCTAAGTGTGCGGCTGAACAGCACACAAAATGTATAAACGATCATACAATTATGCAATATCAAAAGCATAATACACGCATAAAGTTACCTGTCGTGCAATCCTCAGTTTCCGTGACAGTGTACTTGGTAAAGAACACAAACCCTTTATACAATGAACCTGGAAGTTATTTCTGACGTATTTCGCATTCCATTAACTCCTGACTTCATGTGTATTCAGGAACGCTACCCAACATAAACGTTAACCACAGCGTCCAATGCAATGAGGTGATAACAGAATATATTGATTATTGACGTTGCATCGACTTTTGTTCAAGTATTATGAGTCGGGTACCAACAAGGACCCTTGAATGGCAACTGACTTGGTTTGAGAGAGGTTAACGCAAAATCCATAACACCAAGGTGGCCCACTCGCATACAACGCCGCATTCAGCTGTGGATAGATAGTCTCTAAAGATGGAACAAATTACTGGGAGTGAATCATTCTACTCACTCACTTACTCAAGCACCACCTGCTTGCAAAATGAACCTCGTTAAACCACACGCCTCGTCCACAGATCAATTGAAAGTGGTGTCAAACCTGTTCGATATGTGTGTTGGTCTATTTAGGTTTGAGCGTGAGTTGCCAATGATCGCATATGCATCACGCTTGAATTAATGAACCTGTAACCAAAAGTCTTTACATCATTTGTCATGTTACAAAAATGAATCCCCCCCCTCCCAACGCCCACACCCACTACGAGTACGGAAGCCATCCATTAATGGGAAACAAAAGTTCAGTGTAGGTGAGAGGAGGATACCTGTGTCCAACTCCAAACTCGGTAATGATAAAAAGGGCGTTTTATATGTAATCTTACTGTATACACCACAAGTAAATACGAAATGGCACAACAATCAAACCTGGTCCATTAAATATCTTAAACTAACGTTCAACAGTAACAAATGTACACACTTAATCAACTTTACTTATTATATACTTATGTTTGCACTCATGTTGTACTGATTGACGATTCTGAATAACACACTCCATGTTAAAAGTGTTTGGCGGCTTTTTGTGTCGGAATCAATGGTGGTTTGAGTATGTTCCAGCAAAAATTGGAGAATGTTCATATACATATACCTCAATGCTGGTTTATAGCGCACTCATAGGTGAAAGGTAATTTATCAATTAATTGGCAATTAGGTGCATCGTTCCAAGAGTAGAGGTTCGAATCTAGGATGGAACTCGACCCAGACTAGTACTAGAATCTGTACTTTACTGAGAACGTGTGATCCTAAATATACTATATGTTACATCTGACCGTTGTTGTTTAGCTGGCGAGAGAAGAACCATTTTTATTTACCCTTCTATACAGCTTGGTAGACAATATGTGAAATATATCATGATACGAACGATCGAGTAAAAATCGATTTAAGCTGTCAACTTTGGATTAAGCCCAATCCTGAATTTTGCATAATAAAACGCCAATACGAGAAGCAAAATCATCAGACTTTGAAGACCGTTAATGTGCACAACTAAGTACAGTATATGTAAATCGTGTTTGAAGGTACAAAGTATATTGGTATATGCTACACTTAGCATATGATTCACACAGTAACTGTACTTGCATCTATAATAACATGGACATTCAAGAAACACCAGCTCATCCGAATGCTGACTTAATCATCAGCTTTGTGGGAGTAACGCAATTAATTCTTTTATTAATGTTAAATGCGTAGTCTCAGTGATTTGAATGTGTCTCTTTGTGTGGTTACTCAAGTGCATTTACCAACTGCGACGTTTCCAGATTAGTAAAGAAATGTTATAGCATGTTAGTTTTAGACTCTGTAAATGGTAAAACAAACTTGGCACCAACATTAAGAATATTCTTTACTCTTTTGGATTTGGCTCTATGTGGGAACAGCAGCAAAATTTATGTAATGTCGATAAATTCATATCAGAATTTGTTTTTAGATTAAAGAGCAGGTTGAACAAGAATGGCTCACATCGCTTGTAAATAGTCCTAAATTTTCACTTTATTCTTGTTTTAAAATCTCATTTAATGTTGAATTTTACATAAAAGATTTATCAATTTCAAAATTCCGATCGGCCCTTGCTAAATTCAGATGTTCATCACACCGCCTCCAAATTGAAACCGGTCGCTATATTAATCAACCCAGATCAAATAGATTATGTTTTGTATGTAACGATAACTTTATTGAAAATGAATTCCATTTTATTTTGGTATGTAAATGTTATCAAAATCTGAGGTGTTTGTATTTACCACATAACTTTTATTCGAATCGCACTATTCATAAGTTTAATATGCTCATGTCAACTGGCAATCCATATACTGTAAAAAACCTAGCTATTTATATACACAATGCAATGAAACTTAGAGATTCACTTCTATGCCAATAATATCATATTTCCTTTTGTATACTTTGTAAATTAACTTATTGTCTTCTGAACTATATATGCACATATGTACCGCTCTGAAATCCTGAAGTGTAGCCTGGGCCTATGGCCTTCACTACAAAGAAAATAAAGATTGATTGATTGATTGAACTGCGACGTTTACAACTCAGTATATATATTTACCTTCTATATACAATTATATATACATGTTACTGTAGGCAAGATCAATAGACATAATGCATGTGAATTTCAAACAAACTTAACTTTAAACCGAATATTTATGGACAACATATTTTCGATGGGAATATTTTACAAACAGATGATTATCCGGTAAGCACAATTTGTTGTGTCATTAGAGTTAGATTTCAGTCTGATATATGTATTGTGTATATGAATAGAACGTCAAATAACGGCCCTCAATCCATTCCCCTGTGTGCGTTAAAGTTGTTTGAGAAGGAACGTACTTAGGTTGTTGTTTTTATAAAAGACACTATTTGTACAGCCCGTCCGTACATTATCAGCAATGTGAGTGCTGGACACGACAACAAACGTTTGAGAATTACGTCATGTTTACTCTGGCTGCGTATGAAGTGCATCTACCTTCAACATCATAGGATAATACTTGAGATTACCATTGTACCTACTGAGCAAACACGACAGACCGAATATTGACGTTAAACCAAATGCTCGTTTTGTTGAGAAACATGCCCCCATGGTGTTCAGCGTTCACATGACCACAACACAAGTCCTATATTCCTGCAGATGTCATCGATTAATTAATGAGGGTCTTCCCAGTTGTTGAGATAAGACACCTGGTGGTCTCTAGACATGTAGTTTGTTGTCTGTTACCAGGAACTACCGGAAACATTACATTGAGATAGTGCGCATGCTCATTATTTACTGGTCCTTGTCAAAGGTCACATGATATCAGCAGATATTGAGTACAGTTTGTAATCTAAGCGAGCGTCCCCAACAAGGAAGTGACACAAATGATAGCCAAGTAGGTGTGTAATGGGGAGTAATCTTTGTCTGAAGATAGCCAATCAAACACTTGTAATGAGGGTCATGATCACCGAATTCTACCGTATATCTGTAGGCAGGGGCACGTGCTGAATAAAACTGTTGTTAGCAACAATCAATACTTCCTGATAGACTGAACTGGCAGAACGTGTATTATTGTTAAACATCTCATTGTTACATAAATATACTAGTACGTAGCAGACAAGCTTATTTTATGCTAAGACCACGCAAAAACGTTAGTGCCTGTATTTCTCATTGAGTGATTACCTCGATACGGGCAATGCTATTGTATAGGTGTGTCGATAGTCTCTACTCTGTGTTGATAGGTGCACGGTTTACTCACTGGTGATTCAAATTGTTTGAAACTGTGGATGTCTGTCATATAAGTAAATTTTGATGTAAATGATAATAATCAAGTAATACGAGCCTATATATACAAAGGGGTGGTAATGAAAACATGATTATATTATCAGGTATATAACAAGATCGTTGTTACAGAGTGGCGTTGTTCCGGAGGGTTGGAAATTAAAAACAGTGTTGACATCAGACTAAGATCTA